CTCTTTGGGTCCTGTTACTGGATCTAACCAATGCCTTTATCCACTGTGCCATGTGTCCTTATTGACAATTGCTATTATGTATTATCATCAGGTCTATAATTATAATGGCAAAAATTCAAAATTAACATGGTAATGTTGAGATTAACTGTTTCCATGCAGGAAACATTTATCATTTTTTTTTTTAGTGTTACTGCTAGTTGAAATTTATAAAAATCTTTCTCTTAAAACAGCTTTTTTTTTCAGGCTTCTCAAGTTTATTGGTTACTCTTTCTAGCATTGATTGAATTTTCCTTCCTAACCTTTTGTTTAAGGTTATGTGGAACATGAACATCAGAAATACTCAATGTGGTCCACGTGGAAGTGGTCCACAGAGAATTCAGAGCCATAAATGTAGCCATTTAAAAAAAAAATGTATCTAAATTATTCATACTTTGCAGATTTAAAACACATATTTTGTTTAATTACACACATTATATGTCCAAAATTTTATTAATTTATATATAATATGGCATATATATGTGTGTGTGTAATTGTATTAAAACATATATATATATATATATATATATATATATATATATATTATATATATATATATAAATATATATATATATATATATATATATATATATATATTATTTTTTTTTATCCATATAAAAAATATACATAGTATTTATTTAATAAAATAAACTTTAAAGTGTAAATAGACAATTTTGTCTTTTCATTGGCTATTTTAGTTTGAAAATTGAACAGCCTAAAAGTAAAAGTAGGAATGGTCCATTTGAAATCTTTGAAGAAAAAAATGGTCCATTGGCTGAAAAAGGTTGAGAAACACTGGTCAACATCATTATTTTCTCATTCTAGTTATATTTATAGTTGTTGCTGCTCCTGCAAGTCTTTAATTGATGTGGCTTTTGTTATTTGGTAAAGTTCTTTATATATAATAGATGTGTCCAAACCGCAGCTTGCGAACAGCATGCAGCACTTTGAACTTTAATATGCAGCTCATGGAAATATGTTGGTTGAGCTCCTTTTTTCATCTACAGATAAATAAGAAATATTTCAAGCTTTATAATTATTTATCTTACTTATTATAAAATCCAGGTTGTGTGTGTGTGTGTGTGTGTGTGTGTGTCTGTACGTTTATATATTGGATTGGATTTCCTACATTTTTCAACAGATTTCAACAAAACTTCACAGGATTACGTAAAATTATCTTGCGGTGGTTCTGACAGCGCCAAAAATTGGAAAAACAATTGTTTTTGCACGAAATCAATTTGAAAACACGATTCTGTCGCCAGAATGAAAGGGGGGACAAATCATATTGAGTTATACTTATTATAAAACCCAGGTTATTTGTGTGAGTGTGTGTTCGTTTATATGTGGGATCGGATTTCCTACATTTTTCAACCGATTTCAACAAAACTTCACTTTTTGGGGGCAGGTAGTGTTTCTTAATGTCTTGCACACTTTTTTCTTTATTTCTACGTTCAGAATGCTTTAAAAATTTCATTTACAAGACAATTGTTTATAATAAAATTCTATTCAATCGATAGATTCATCATGATTGAAAAAAATGTTTTTGTTCGAGTTTGACCAATTCGTAAAAAAAAAAAAAAAAAAAAAAAAAAATTAAGACATGCATGTCCGTCAACCTTAAACAATAATCTTTGTCAATTTTATTTTTCAGTCTTTATGATGGTCGATACTTGATCTATCTCTTACTGTTACATCCCCGGGCAACGCTGGGCTCTACTGCTAGTTGGGAATAAATTGCGACTCCATTGTGTTAAAATGTAATTTTAATATTAATATGTATGTAACAAAAATGTATGTGTAAATTAAGTTCATGTCTTGTGATTCTCAAACATACAAACTTTATTGTATGTGGCCCTTACATGAAACAAATTTGGCCACACCTGACATACAAGATGCACTTAAAAATAACTGGTCTGCATCTTATATTCAAAGCTGAGGCCACCTAGAAACTAATTTTAACCTCAACACTCACAATCATAGCCTCTGTTATTTTACGTTAGATTTTCACTACTATTAGCTCAATTACACAATATTATTTTTGTTCATACGATATTATTGATAATGTAAAAACAGTTATCAAATCATAGATGGCAATCATGTAGGATATTTTCAGCCTTGTGATTTCTTGCTTTATATTCAGCTGCACTGCTAGCTTGATTTTTATATACAGTGATGTTTTCTGCTATAGTCATAATGTTTTGCAATATACTTCTTTAAACCTTAAATAAAATGAAAATTTTTCCTGAATATGCCTTGCTGAAACAAGGCTTTATCTAAAATGCCATGTGTCTTTTATACTATCAGGTAGAGTAAATTAAATATAGATAACATAAGGCATACATATATATGCAAGCATGCTCAGTTTTATAAGAATAAATAGACCAAAATGAGTAAATCATTTTTTTCCATTGATAAATTTTAAGAATCTTTATGGAAAAGAAAAAATATATTCATAATACAAACACACACTTTACGATAAAAAATGAATATTTTCATAGAAAATTAATAAAATTCTCTAGCTGCATCTATATTAAATGTATGACATGAAAAAATCTTTGATGGTAAATTAAAATAAGTCTTGAGATAATTTTTGGTATATTCAATATGCCTGAATCTGTATCTGCAGGTTTGTCTTTCTTTAAAAAGAAAAATACATTAAAAATTGTGTAATTATTCATATATGAAAAAGGCTGTACAGAAAAAAAAAAAAAAGCATTTTGATAAAATTCACAAACAGAACAACAATTTCTAAAAATTTTAATTATGGTACACAATTTTTAAACCTTATCTATTCAAACTTGTTCTTCTGTACATTTCTCATAATCAACCTTTTCAAATATGTGCTCATGTATGTGATTACCTATATTAGATGTGGTCTTCTGAAAAAAAAAAAATAGATGTGTGTATAAATATATATATATATATATATATATATATATATATATATGTGTGTGTGTGTGTGTGTATATATATTATGATTTAAATAACAGGGAAAACTGGGATCTCTAGCCTTGGCATTTAATCTTGCATTTAACCAAAGACCAGCATTTCTGACTATACTGAAAACTTTTTGCATCACTTCCTATGTAACTGTGCACACACACAAGAGAGTGAGACAGTGTGTGTGTATGTAGAAATGTTAAAATCTACTAAATATAATATATATATATATATATATATATATATATATATATATATATATATATATATATATATATAGTGTGTGTGTGAAAAATATGCATGCTTAAGAAAATAAAGTTTTAATTTAATTTTTGTGCCAAGCGGCTCTCTGAATAAATTAAATAAAAAGCAAAATTTTATGAATAAAATCATTATATATATATATATATATATATATATATATATATATGTGTGTGTGTGTGTGTGTGAGAGTGTGTGTGTGTATATAAACTCAGATTTTTTTTTCTTATGAACACCCAGGTTAACATATGATCCTTTCTTGGACAGCAAATTTATTTTAATGTAAAAATAATATTAGAATTCCATGGTTGAAGTGCCTCTTGATTAAACCTATTTTATAACAAAAATAAGTCTTTAATTTTATGGAGAAGAAAAATCCCAAATTCTATGGCCAAGATTAACTCAATGGAATGTCTTTTAATTTAGCTTCCAAAAAATAAATAAAAAAACTTCTAGATTTCAGGTGCATGATAATTTTTAAGAAAAACTCATCATTTCCATTTTTTTTACTGAATCTTGCATTCAGTTTGATTGGAAAAATTTTACATGTATATGGAAAGAGATAAAATAATGATAATAAAACTGCATTCATGTTCACTCATACTATATATATATATATATATATATATATATATATATATATATATATATATATAGATGTGTATATATTTTACAGGGTATACCCAACACACCTTAATAAACTTTTGTTTCATAATTATTTAGATATGTGATGACTTATAAAAGTGAGATATGAGTAGTCAACACCACCACCACTGCAGTGATCCAATATAAAACGGAATGAATCATGCTCAGCATCAACTTACATGTCAGGAAGTGCAACACCTAGATTCAACATCAGAGTGGAATGAAGGACAAAATTGAGACCATTAAGAACAAACATAGATGGGCTGGACCACAGGTAGACTATTAGAGTGACAGTGTGGACACCAGGGATGTGAAAAAGAAGTAGAGGATGGCCAAAGGCAAGATGTCATAACCCCAATATGGTCAGAGATGTGGTGGAGGTCAGCCAGAAAGGAACTCCATCATGAGTGTGAAGACCCTGGTTCTGGATGTCAAAATCAAGCAAGTGCAGAAACATAACTAATGTAGTTATGGATCATAAAAAGTGTGACAAATTCAAAAGTTGCATGAGGATAACAAAATATACTTTTCAGAAACTGAACAATGCATTAAAGGATTGATTTTTTTTTTTTTTTAATGATCAATTCATTTTTACAGCTTATCAACCTTTTGCAGGTCATTTAAAGCCAGAAAATATTTTTTGATTGTAAGAATTTCTTTAGTGGTATTGATTTCCATTCCTACCCCTTTTCAAAATCTAATCCACTGACCAAAGATCAGATGTTTTCTTGATCAGGGTGAGAATTTTTCAACTCAGTATGTACATATCTATCTATATATTATATTATATCTATCTATCTATATATATATATATATATATATATATATATAACAGTATTAAAAATGAAAATTTAAAGTCTATATAAAAATTTAAAGTAAATATTCTACTACCCAAAAGCCATTTATTATAGGATTCATTTTTAGATTTTTTTACATAATGGTTCAATGATACAAGTCTTACTAATTAACCCATAGCTGAGGAGGAGAGAAGTGGTGGATTCATGCCTTTCCTAAGGGTATTTGTGTGTAAGTGAATATAATGAACCCAACCAGGATTGGAACTGCTCTCTGATTAAAAATTCCAAGCCATTATCCATTAGACCACCCACACATCTAAGTTTGCTGCACCTCCTATTCACAAGCGGTCACTCATCGAGGTACTGACCAAGCCCGATGTGGCTTAATTCAGTGATCATACAGGAACCAGTGCCCCAACATGATATGGCCACAATCCCTATTAAAGGATTAAAATATAGGAAATGGAAAGTGCTGTACTACCATGTTGCAAATGAAAAATCATAAAAACTTAAAAGCTTATAGATTTGCTTCTACCAACTAATGTTGTAAATACTATAATACGAGAAATAATAAAGTTTTAATTGAACATAGGAAGACAGCAAAAGGGACAACCTAAATGTTTGAGTTACATATTAGGGATGTCAGAATCAATCGAGTAAGAAATTTAACAATCTGGATAGTACAGTAACAGATGATGTAAAGCATGATACAGAAATTCAGAAGTTCTTCGGAATTGCAAAAGATACTGAAATAGCATAAGAAATAATAAAGTTTTAAAGGTGAATAGGAAGACAGCAAAAAAAACAACCAAATGTATTCTTCTATGTGACATTTCCTTTCAGGCCATAACCGATCATCCACTCCCAAATTTCTTATCTCATGTGACCCTTAGCAGTTTTCTCCATTTACTAAGGCCCCCCACTTCCTGTTCTACCATCCATTAACATAAGCTCATCAGATAAGTGACTCACTACCTTCCCTTACTTTTATTGTTCTCAATATCTCCTGTAAGGGTTAAGTTTTCCAAGCCTTCTTTCTTCACTATGTGTCCAAGGAATTTCAACTATCCTTTACTGATTCAGAGTATAAGTATTCTTATAAACATTTTCTTGTTGCTTACTCACTCTATCAATGAAATTCTTAGTATCCTTCTGTAGAACCACATTTCTGCTGCCTCTAGTTTTTTCCTCATCTGTTGGGGAGATTATCCAATATTCACTATCATATTGCATAGCAATTCAACACTTTTCTTTGCTTCTAGACAAAATTTTCCCATTTCTTAATACTTTACTTAGCTTTTAGAATGCATCTTTCATTAGTCCAATGCATGTTCAGATCTCGGTGTCAGTTTCCATTCTCAGTTAAAACCCTTCCCAGATATTTAAACTTCTGCGCCTGCTTAATGTTCAAGTTGTAACTTGCATATTGGGCTTTTCCTCTTATTGATGACCATGTATTATCTTCATGCAGTTGATGGTTAGTCTTCTTTTTTTTTTTCGTTTTCTTGTACTACCCTGTCTAGGAGGTTCTGTAGTTTGCTTTCTGAGTCTACCATCAACACAGTATCTTACATTCTTTAGATTATGTCCACTGATAATAAATCCTGGTAGGGGTCTCCAGTTCCCTTAGAATAGCTTTGCTGTAGAGGTTTAATAATTCTGGAGGTAAGACACATCCTGGTCTCATGACCCTTTCTATTTTTGTAGTTATAGCTACTCAATTCATCTTCTATTCATATGCAGGTGGTTTGTTCCCAGTATAAGATCTCGATTATTCTAACATCTTTTGCAAATAATCTGAATAGTGCAGTAACAGATGATATAAAGTATGATACTGAAATTCAAATCTGCATAGGAAAAGCAAATGCAGCTTTTCAGAAATTAAGCAATGAAATCAGAAATCAAAAAATGTCAGAAAGAACGAAAAGAGTACTGAACTACTATGTAATACTGTAGAGTCAGGCTTCTGCAATAGTCAGGGGATATACTAGTATCTTTAGTAGGTATAGAAATAAATACAATATAGGAGCCATTAATAAATAAAGGCTAGTGAGAGCAAGGTTTCAGCAGCAGTAAAAAGTGAAGCCTCAGTGAGTACGATTAAGTATGAGAAGTAGCAACAGCACTAATCAGCAGGCAGGTTAGGTTTAAGGTTCCAAGTTCTCCACTCACAATTCTCCCACAGGACAAGAGACAGGATTAATTTTTTTTTAACACATATCCTGCTGGCATCAGTTTAAGCTAACACATTTTTCTCTACAGATCTAAACTATAATTGTAATCTAGAAGTTTGGAAAGTGATAAATTGATTGTTTTTTTTTTATGGTGCATCAACCTTTAATAGATTAAAGACAGAAAATATTTTTAGATTATTGTTTGGAGATTTGCAAGTCATATTAATTAACTCCTAGCTGGAGAGAGAAGAGGTGGATTCCTACCTTTCCCAAGGATATTTGCATGTAAGTGAAGATAAACCTGACTGGAATTGGAACTTGGCTCTATGATTTCCAGTTCAGAGTCATTATCCATTACACTACCTGTACATCAAAGCTTACAGCACCTGATATTTCCAAGCAGTCACTCATCTAGGTACTGATCAGACAATGTTGCTTAACTTCTGAGATCATACAAGAAATGGTATTTCAATGTGATATGGTAATAAACCTTTGTAAAGTGATATTTTCACTGAAATACGTTGGAAAAATTCAGTTTTAATCTGAAATCAAGAAAATAAGAACTTTAAGAAAAATGGTCATGATATATGGTGGGGGAGGGAAAGAGGTGTCTGATTAAACTTACTCCAGAATGATACAGGTTAAGGCCTCATCCTTTCAAGACACAGGCAACCTTGACTCTGCGGATAACTTTTCTTCATTATCTGGAAATTGCATTGAATTCTTGGCAAACACATTGGTTTTTCAGTGTCTTCTTCATTGTTTGGAATTCAGAATTTTCCTTCTCTTAAACTATTTGCTGCCAAAAGCTAGAGAGCTTTGTCTATTCTATTTAACCCACAGCTAGGAGGACAGGGGAAGAGAAGGATTCATGTCTTTCCCAAGAGCATTAGTGTAAAACTGACTAGCCTGGAATTTGAACTCAGCTTTCTGATCCCATGCTAATATTTAAAGTCACAATAATTGTCCTTACAGTCTTTACACTGGTGTTAAAAATCATCAGTCATTACTCTTAACAATTTTAATTCAAATTAAAGTTCTTGCTGTGGAATTGTAAAAACTGGGAAAAATTTACTTCTTTGTCAAAAAGAAATCCATGTTTTAATAACTATTAAAAAAATACTCCTAAAAATATACTCTTAGCTATTTTGATTTAAATCAAGTTATTCCTTGTGAAATTGTAATACAACAATTCATGGAACTGTTTCACAAAACTGGAAACAGTTTACAGCTTTGAAAAATCAATATTTTAATGAATGTTAAAAAAAATATATATACTGAGAATTACCAATTCAAGTTTGTTAAAAAAATTGTGTAAAATACAGAAAAACATTTACAAAACATCTATTCTTCATTATTTTCGATTTTGTTCCAGTCTTTCTTTTCTCATCCAATACCACACAACCTCAATTTAACATTTGTTTAATGTTTTGGTCATTAAAGATTTTAAAAATATGGAAAATAAAGGTGTTTTTTCCTTTCAATGAAGGATTGATGAATAAGAAAGAAAAAAAAAAAAAAAGAGTCAAAGTCTTAAGTGCATGAGGCAATATAGCTGGGGTGAGAAATTAAATTGCTTTGTTTTTGTATACAATCATACAAAATGGTTAAATTTGCAAAAGAGACAATTATTTGAGTAAATTAAGATGGTTTTATTTTTGAATTTAAATTCATATGTTTTTTTTAAATAAATCTAAATTAGAAATGTGTGCATGCAAATTATGTCATTCATTTTTAAATTTTGTTTTATTTTGAGTCATTCTTATACTGGCTATTTCTGTTTGGCGGCAACAAAGAAAAAAAAGTCAGAATCCATCTTCCATAAGGAAAAATTATAACCTAATTCTTTTTTTATATTGCAAAAGAAATATTTCCCAATAAACTTTAAAAAAAAAAAAAAATACTGTTACACAAATCATATCACTAAAATTTTAATTAAAGAAGCAAAAAATATTTGAAAGATGAAATTGTTTTCGAAAACATTGTTAAATTTACATTTTAAAAATTATAGAGATTTTGTTAAAATCAATGTAAACCATCTAAAGAGTTTCTTATATATTTCATGGCAAACATGGATAAACACACTCACAATTAGACAGTGTCAAAGAGAGACTTTTTCCCATGACACTGTATTTTTAACTACCACTCTTCAACAATCTTTGTTTTAAAAAGCAATGATTAGAATAAAACCAAAACACATGATGAAAGTGAATATTTTTGTTCTTGAGAATTTACACCAAAAATATTAAACATTATTAGATTGGTCAAGAATAATTTTATATTTACAACATTATAAAAATGAATAAAATTGAAACTAATGCAATATTTATCATTTACTAATTTATAATGAAACAATATTTTATTCATAAATTTATAAACGTTTACTACTGAAACCCTTAACATTTTATAAAGTTTAAATCAAGTGACAGTTAGCTGATGCTTTGCCAACTATTCCAGTAAATGATGGGTGTGATGTATAAATTGTCTAAATTATGCAAAAATGAAAATTATACTCACACCTCATTTTAATAGATATATTTACAAAAATTACACAAAAATATCCTGAAATACTAAAGAGTAAATTTATTCAATAATCATCCATGGCCTCCAGACAATTTCAGAATCTCCTCTATTTCTTCTTGACAGTCTTGTTTAATTTAATGAATACTGCAATAATCCTTGCCTTTATTTCATCCTTGGTTCTACAAGGAGTTTTGTTAGTCTTTCTCACCCAACTGTGCCCAATACATAATAATCAAGAAGGTTGCAGTCTGGAGAGTTAGGTGGCCAGATGTAAGGGCTGATGTGGTCACAGAAATGATGGGGTTCTCCTGCTTGTTTGGCATGGTGCAGAGTCCTGTTGCCAGACATAGGATCTTCCAGCAGCCATCCTCTTGACCCAGAGCAGCACTAACCCCTCAAAGCATTTGATGCAGGTCACTGTATTGAGTCTGAGGACTGCACCAACAAATTAAGAAGTTGGTATCAGAATGATCAGAGTGAGTTTTCCGAGCTGCTGTACCTTCATAATCAGCATTAGACCCATCCAACTATTTCAAAATCCTCTGCACTGTGCTCAAATTGACACACTGAAATGTCAGTATTTGAGTTTTTGGTGCGAATGCCAAGCAGTACAGCATGCTGTTTCCAAATTTCTGGTGGAGTGAATTACATCATGGTGCGCTTTTTCTCACAGACAGTTCCCAACTGACCCTACTATATTGTGAAGTAGACAAAATCAAAAACAAACAAGGTGCATG